TATATATACATACACAAGAAAAATACTTTAAAAATACAACAGTACCATAATAAGGTAGTAGTATATATGCCCAAATATTTTCACAAAGGAATACACGCAGCTGGTTAGCTAACAATATGCAAATGTTACATGAACACCTGGGAAGGAAGGTGCAATCACGTTCTGTTGCCTAGCAAACGTCTGTACTGTAGCGGGGGCGGGGGTGCTAGCCTACTGATGTACTGTGTAGCGGGGGACGATGAGGCAGTGCAATATGTGATAGAAAGTACACTTTCAAAAGAAATAAATTAAAATAAGGAAAAAAAATTTAAGAATAATTCAGTTGCAGACGTATCTTGTTTAAGTATTATACAATGCTAACAATGCGGCTCTTTTGTAGCCTTAGCTAGGCAAGGCATCCATGTGCAAAGCAGTGGTGTTTATCCATGAAAAAAGCACGCCGGGAAAGTTTGCCTAAGTGACGTAATATTATGACGTATGCATCCTAACTGTATTGTGAGTGTGACGTCATCAAAAAATAAAAATTTTCTATTATAGGCAAAATATTAATAACTACAAGGTTTGTGGGCGTAAATTCCATAAATACGAATTAAGGGTAGCACCATCTCCTTGCCATACAAACATAGTTACCAACCATCTCGCATCGTGCGGGACGGTCCCGCATTTCAAAGTGATTTTGGATGAAGCGCGCATTTTGCAGAAACACAAGTCGATGCGTGATAACGAATTTTATTATTTTATTATTAAGAATTCAGTGGAAAATTTAGTTAAAATTAAGAAGAAATGTATTTTATTAACAATATAAAAACGATCATGCAGTAATTTGATTCATTAGGGAGCTTTCAATTCCCCCCGCACTTTTTCTACTGGAGCGCGTGGTCCCCCAGATGTGTATAAGAGACAGGTTCCCAACACCAGTGACAAACATTTTATTATTAGGCCTATTATTATTATTATTATTATTATTATTATTATTATTATTATTATTATTATTTGGTTATTATTTGGTGCTTACACCTTGTTTATTTGCGCCTTATAAATGTACCTATTTATTATTATAAAATATAGATTTTCTAATGAAAATTACAAGTTCCCTTTTTGAGTTGATCAACCAAATGTTGATTGACGTTTGTATACGTGCGTCTGTAAAGTTTCCTTGAAACCCACCCTTGCATGAAAATCGCCTGCATTTGTGAATTCTGTATTTAGGCATATGGGGGGAGGTAGACACTCTTAATGGAGCGACGTTCTAGTTCTCTTTATGCTAACCACGAAGATGTATAGTAAGTGTAACTGATTGGCTTTCAGTAAACCTTAAAACTAGCGTAATATAACCACATTTATACTCCATCTAATTTAACGTAAACAATAAGATACTTAGGCCATTTTCTAAAACAGAGTTCTCTGAAGGTTAACTACATAATTTACAGTACACTTAATATGTTATAGGTTGTCAAAACTATGTTGAGTATAAAAAATCTTTCGAATAAAAAATCTTTCGCTTTACATTACGAATTAATCATTTGTGAAACAAAATTATACTGTAGGCTATGTCAAGTGTTATATTGAACAGTGGCAGATTCAATGGGGAACCCAGTCAGCACGGGACCCCATCTTCCTATTTTTTTCAAAATAAAAAAAAATGGAGAAAACAGACAAAATTGTATTCAATTTTTAATCCGAGAGTGCCATTTCCGGTCATCTAGAGGTGCCATAATCATAATTTCTTCTTACCTCAGCCACAACAGTTGTGGGGTTGAGGCGGGTGGACATTTTATTTGCGCAAGACTCTTCCTGGAACCCCTCTATTTCGACTTTCTGGACCCGCCACAGTTGGGCTACGTAGAAGGGTAATTTTTATCCATCGGCGGAAAAGTGAACCCATATCAAGGATCATGATAAATAATCCATTGAAGTCGTGGAAGCAATCTCGACTTTGACTTTGTTCGGACATCTGTGGCGCGTTCAAGGG